TTCTTATAGGAATTTATTCTATAGATTTACTTGTACACTAGAGAAATGATGTGTATTAAGATAATCACTGCAACACTGTTCAGTCATTATGTCCACTAAAGACAACTGATTACATAAACTATAGAAACGTCCATAAAGTGGAACACTATGCAGGCAATTAAAAAGAAAGATAGGCTGGTGTGGTGGCTCACACCTGTAATCCCAGTATTTTGGAAAGCTGAGGCAGGAGGATCGCTTGAGGCTACACGTTTCAGACCAGCCTGGGCAAAATAGCGAGATCTCATCTCTACAAAAAAAAATTTAAGAATAAATAAAATTAAAAATTAAAAAATTGGCCTGGTGTGGTGGCATGTTCCTCTGGTCCCAGCTACTCAGGAGGCTGAGGCAGGAGGATCATGTGAGTCCAGGAGGTCAAGGCTGTAGTGAGCCATGATCACACCACTGTGCTTCAGCCAAGAAAACAGAGTAAGATTCTGTCTCCAAAAGAAAGAAAGAGAGAGAGAGAGAAATTCTAAACAATATAGTCATGTGAAATAATTTCTAAGATATAAATGCCAAAGTAAGAGGCAAAAGAGTATGCTACCATGTGCTTAAAGAATGCATGGATACTCTCACAAAGTATATATCACATCTGCAAATCTCCACAAGAAACTGACACAGGGATGACTCCAGGGAGGAGAACTGAGTGATGAGAAAGGTATGTGAAGGAGACTGCATACCATTTGAACCATTTGAATATGGTACCATAAGCATGTCTAACAACTAACAGAAAGGGAAATACATACACAGAAAAAAACAAAAAAAACCATAAAATACTGAATGGCTGTGAAGTCTTTGTAGAAAGATTTACTAGTCCTCTAAGTAGATGAAAGAAATACTAGGGGAAACATTGCTTGTTTTCATTACATCTAAGTTTTAAACATTCTATTTCAAGTCACAGCCAAAATTAAAACAGAACAAAGAATAGAAGACTGAGTGATTTTTGTTACTATATAAAGAATCTACACAAGAATTTAGGGGGAAAATGTTAAACATAGTAAGAATAAGAGGAATTACTTCAATAGCATCCTATCCACAACAGGCAAAAACCTAGGTTAATCAAGACTATGTATTACTGGTATTTTACATGAAATACAGTTATAAACATTCTCCTGAAGATGATAGAGGCAAAATGACAATTAGAGTTTTAGAAGAACAAATACTAGCAGGATAAATATTTTAGGTGAGAGAAACATTCAGGCTTAGAGATTTAGAAATAAACTATGGCACAGAGAAAGTGACATACAGAAACATATACAAAGTATACACAGAAAAAAAATGAGAGCCAAGAGCAAAGGATAGTAGAAAAGAGAAATAAAAGAAGATCCATAAGAAAAGGGAAGAAAATGCTTCCCCACCAATGTGTTTGCCAAAAATAAATTACCTGAGAGCTAGAAAACCATGCTGATGTTTGGAATCTACCACTGCCACTAGGAAGTGGTATAGAGTCAGTTAGCTACCTTACATGAGAGAGTGGGTAAGGAATGGAAAATGAACAGGGGCCAGGCATGATGGCTCACATCTGTAACCCCAGCACTTTGAGAGGCCAAGGTGGAAGGATCACTTAAGGCCAAGAGTTCAAGACGAGCCATGACTAATATAGCAAGCTCCATCTCTACATAAAATAAAAATTTTAAAATTAGCCAAGCATGGTGGTGCCTGCCTGCAGTCCCAGCTACTCCTACTCAAGAGCCTGAAGTGGGAGGATGGCTTGAGTCCAGAGTTTGAGGTTGCAATTAGCTATGACTGCACTCCAGCCTGGGTGACAAGGCAAGACTCTGTCTCAAAAAAACATAAAAGAAAGAAAATGGACCAGAAGTAGAAAGAAACAAAAGACAGCCTGATCAATGTGTGGAAAGACAGAGAGAAAAATCACATAAACAGCCTGAGGATTTCAGGGGTCTGGGAAATGGCATGGAAGGGCCTGATGCCCTCAGGAAGGGAGCAGTGCTCCCAAATGTGGAAAGACTGAGGAGAAAAGTGGCCAGCCACTTGACAGGAGGATGACCTCAAAAGAGAAAACAGGGTCAGGGCCCCAGCCCTTCTGCACCGACAGGACACTCAAAGATGAGCTTTCCAAGCAGGAGCCCTTGCACTGCTCCATTTGCTCAGCTGCTGCTGGGATGGTTCCCACTTACTCACCTGCACGCGTGCCTGACGGAGCCTCTCGCATCTCCATCCACGGCTCTGCCCCTTGCTCCAACTGGGCGATTAGTTTTGGTTTGGAAGAGAGAAGCCCTGTTTATAAAGAAAAAGGATCTTAGAGGAAGAAAAAAAAATAATGAAAAGGAATGTGACGGTGGTTACGAGCACAAGCAGTCACCCCAGACCTCAGTGTCAATGAGCATCTGCAAGAAGCATGGACAGGTCAGGGAGGCCTAGAGGGTGGCACCCAGGATGTCCAACTCATGGAGTAAAGCAAACAGAGGGGGCAAAGTCAATTAGAAAACCAAGTCCTCCTGGAGGACAAGAAGCTCCTATTTCAGGAGGCAGATGAATCATGACACAGAAGCATTCCAGAACTGTGCTAGTTGGCACAACAAAGCTGCCCGTCTTAACTCTGTATGGCTCTGATCTTTCTTGAGGGATGGAAGGAGCATGAACTCCAGCCTCTAAGCCCACTCTTAAGAATAACAAAACAAACACAGCATTTAAGACTTTTCAATACCCCAAACCATTTACCAAGTGAAAACACAAAGTTGCCCAGCAGGTCAATCCTGAGTCAAGGAAAAAGCCATCCTCACCCACAGACACCAGATTCCCATAGTTCTCCAGCATCACATCCCTGTACAGGGCCCGCTGAGCAGCATCCAGGTGTCTCCACTCAATTCGTGTAAAGGCCACGGCCACATCCCCAAATGTCAGCAGTCCCTGCAAAACCAAACCCAATTCTGCTCATCCCGGAACCCTTGAGGGATGCATGCCAGGAAAAGGAAGCAAGGTGGTCAAGGCCAGCTTCTGACAGTTCTAACGGTCCTCATGGGAACCAACAAGTAAAAGCTGAGGGCTGAGGGAAGGTGCAACCATGCCTGTCCTGCTCCTTCCTCAGGGCCTGGCCTCTGCTCACCCCACCCTTCATGTCACCTCATCAAAAAGGTCTTCTCGGCCGGGCGCAGTGGCTGAAGCCTGTAATCCCAGCACTTTGGGAGGCCAAGGCGGGTGGATCATGAGGTCAAGAGATACAGACCATCCTGGTCAACATGGTGAAACCCCGTCTCTACTAAAAATAAAAAACATTAGCTGGGCATGGTGGCGCGTGCCTGTAATCCCAGCTACTCAGGAGGTTGAGGCAGGAGAATTGCCCGAACCCAGGAGGCGGAGGTTGCGGTGAGCCGAGATCGCACCATTGCACTCCGGCCTGGGTAACAAGAGTGAAACTCCGTCTCAAAAAAAAAAAAAAAAAAAAAAAGGTCTTCTCTTCTCTTTCTCCACCCCATCCTCTGCCACTCTGTCTCGAAACCCACTTCATTTGTCTTCACAAGATTTCTCACCACCTGACAGGAAAGGCTTGTATTGACTGTCAGCACCCTGTAATGTGAGTTCCACGGGGGACAGTGTGGGTCACTGCTGCATCCCAGTCAAAAAGACTGTCTGACACACAGAAGTGTTCAGGCATTGTTCAATCAACAAATAAACAGAAACTCTGAAAAGACATGGAAAGTGATCAGCTTTATCTGGGAATTTACAGAGAGTATGATCTGACTCTGGGGCAGAATCTTTTTTGAAAAGAAAAAAAATTGCTTTTCATAACTGTAACAACTTACTATGTATGAGGCACAGTGCTAAATCCTGAGATACACATCATCTCTCTAAATTTCTCCCATAACTATATGAAGTAAAATCTATTTTGTAGCTAAAGACACAAAGGTTCAAAGAGTTGGAAGAATTTGCTCAAGGTCCCAGGGCTGGTTGAAGGTACAGTATAAAAGGAAGCTATAAAAAGTGGTAATGAAACTAGAACAAATTAGAATGGCCATGAAATATTAAAAGGAAAAAATGGGTAAGCCTTTCAAAAAATGCAAAAGGTATTTCAAATGAAATTACTTGACTTGTTAAAGCAGTAGAAATGTGGGTGATCTTTAGTTTTTAAAATTTTTCTTTACTTGTATAATATTCAAATGTTTATCACTTCCTTTCAAAATACCAGCTATTTAATCAGCTTCTTGAAATCTCTCAAAACCTTGTTTTCTCGAGGATAAAGGCAAACTCCAGTCTGGGATGCTAGACAATGAATGTTTCCAACATTCTCAGGCCAGTTTGTTCATGTTTCCGCCATATGACCTCATTCAGGCAGCACTTTCCCCTAGTATCCTCAGCGATTATGCAAATCTCATTTATTCTTCAGGAAGAACGAAGGTACCCACTACTCCACTCCTCCCACCCCACCCCACACTAAAGGTCAAGAGAGTGCTGCCATCACCCTTATCTTTACGGCCTATGTCTTTATACGCTAAGGTGTATGTTTTTCATTGTCTGCCAGTTTGCAAAGTACTGTTCTGTTTCTAGCGCTTTAGAAACCATGGGCAGCAATAATCTTCTTGGTGAATGACTACGTAATGGGTAGAGAGGACAGAAATGAAGGATAGTGGGATCCATCCAGGATCACTTCAGATAGCTTGATCCACACAAAGGGCAGGGCATCGTCCGGGCAAGAGGCATAAACCCCACCACGCTGAAACGGGTGGTTTCTCAAGAAATGGAAAAATCAAACTTGCCTGGATCTGAGCTCTTGGGGTCATCTGTGTCCTGAACTGTTCTCCCAGGCAAGGGCAGAGAATCCTGCGTAAGTCAATCTGGGAAAGAAGAGAGGAAATAAGAAGAAGTCTCTCCGTGCCCTATCCTAGCTAGAACCTGCCCTCTGGACCAGGCCCCCACCTGCCCGCTCCCTCCACAGGTGGACAGACAGGTTCAGGTGGGTACGCTCGGGAAGAAAGGAAAGGGAACGACTGCTGGGATCCGGCATGGACTGCAGCCAACCCCACGCCATGCACCTTTGGCAGCACGGGGGGACCGCCTTGTCAGTGGCCCAATCTGTCGGCCCGGGTGCAAGCCTCGCACGCTCTGTGATGCACAGCCTTCGGGCGGTCGCTCTACTTAGCGCAGTCACTGCGGGTGGGCCCTGCCCACCGCTGCCGTCCCCTCCCACCCCGGCGCGCCCCTCGACCCGCCCCCGGGAAAGGCGGGGAGCACCCGCCAGGGACCCGAGGCTTCAGGGACCCGAGGCTTCAGGGACTCAGCCGGGGGTGGCCGCTCACAAACCGAATCGAGCCGGCAAGGCTGCGGAGCTGCACGCCCAGAGAGACAGCGACCACGCCACGCGGTCCCGACGGTAGCAACCTGCCAGGGGCTGATGCAGCGCTCGCCCCACGCGGAGGCGGGCAGGAACGGAAGCGGAAGTGGTTGCGGCCGCGGAGGCCTCTGGGAAACGTAGTCTGGGCCGCTCAGGGATCTTAGGGATTCCATCCTCAGAGCAGGTTGGCATCACTTGCGAATCTTTGAAAAGTGAACGTGCGGGAAGTGGAGAGTGACTGATCGCAGTCCGGAGGTGGTGGCTGACATTCAAAATCTGGTAAAAAGATTGGAGAGGGCAGTGGGCCACCTGGAAGCAGTATCCCATACCTCTGATATGCACCGTGGGTATGGAGACAGTCCTTCAGAAGCAGGAGCAGCTCCATCTGGGCAGGCATTTGACTCGCTGCTTGCCAGTCCTATGGCAGAGTACTTGAAGATCAGTAGAGAGATTGGGGGAGACGTGCAGAAACATGCGGAGATGTTCCACAGGGTTTTGAAGTTGGAGCGAGCTCTCTTGGCTACAGCTTCTCAGTGTCAACAGCCGGCAGGTAATAAGCTTTCCGATTTGTTGGCACCCATCTCAGAGCAGATCAAAGAAGTGATAACCTTTCAGGAGAAGAACCGAGGAGCAAGTTTTAAATCACCTGTCAGCTGTCAGCAAAAGTATCCAGGCCCTGGGCTGGGTGGCTATGGCTCCCAAGTCTGGTCTTTATGTGAAAGAAATGATGCTGCCATGTTTTATACAAACAGAGTCATCAGAGTACAACCACGTAGACTGGGTCAATATTTATTTAAGTATACAGGCTTACATTAAGGAGTTCCATACCACCAGACTGGCCTGAAGCAAAATGGGGCCTGTAGCAAAAGAACTGAGGGGACTACCATCTGGACCCTCGGCTGGATCAGGCCACTGGCCTCCCCAGTCTACCAGTTCAGGCTCAGATGAGTCTGTTTCCCTCTCAGCACTGTTTGTGCAGATTAATTCGGGGGAGAGCATCACACATGCCCTGAAATATGTATCTGATGACATGAAGACTCACAAGAACCCTGCTCTGAAGGCTCAGAGTGGTCCGGTACACAGTGGCCCCAAACCATTCTCTGTACCTAAACCCCAAATCAGCCATAAAGGAGCCAGCTGTACTTGAACTGGAGGGCAAGAAGTGAAGAGTGGAAAATCAGGAAAATGTTTCCAACCTGGTGATTGATGACACAGAGCTGAAACATATGGCTTACATACATGTGTGTCAACACGACATTGCAAATCAAGAGCAAAATTAATTCCATTACAGAAGATAACTATAAGAAATTTGGTCCGGTATTCAATGACATGGTGGGCATTGTGGAGCTAATCAACAGTAGGGATGTCAAAGTTCAGGTAATAGGTAAAGTGCCAAACATTTCCATCAACAAAACAGATGGCTGCCATGCTTACCTGAGCAAGAATTCCCTGGATTGTGACATAGTCAGTGTCAAATCTTCTAAGATGAACATTCTCATTCCTACAGAAGGTGGTGACTTTAATAAATTCCCAGTTCCTGAGCAGTTCAAGACTATGGAATAGATAGAAGTTGGTCACCACAGTGACAGAAATTGCTGAATAAGTGAAGTAGGTTGTCTGCCCTCTCTTCACATCATGGGATAAATCTGTATCAAGATGGTTTTCCAGATTTCCTCTACATTTCTGCTCTTAAAACTGCTTCTCTACTCTGAGAAGCACAGCTATTCGCCTTCACTGAAATCTACCTCAGGTTAAGATTTAGGGTGGGATAGCAGATCAGTTGATCTTCTGCAAGAAGGTGCAGCTTTTCCAGATCAGCTCAACCATGACCAGGACTGCCGATCAGGACTGATGATGCATTTTAGCTTTGAGCTCTGGGGGTTTAGTCTACCAACAAACAGTCCATTGGGAAGAAAACAGTCCCAGGAATTAACAGATCAGAATGTTCACACTGGTTAATCTTTTTCTAACAATGAGCATGAAGGTAGCAGAAGCTGGTGTGTTTCCAGATGGTTCTTCTAACCAAACTAATTGTTCACTGTTGACAAATGAGGCAAGGGTTACACAGGACCAAAGGCTGAGGCTTGGCCATCTAGTATTCCACGCAAAATTGTTTTCTATAACCATTTTTTTAATTCTCTATTCTATCTTGGGTCTGCCTCAACCATGAGATAGGGGAGTCTCTGGTACTAGCTGCTGTGGCAGTGCCCTTCATCCAGGGCAGTTAAAGGAGTCTTGGACCCTTTCTTTCTCTGCGATCCCTGCCCAGTACCTTCCTACAGAGATGACTTTAAAAGAAAAAAAAAAGGAAAAGCAACACACCATTCCAAGGAGTCTGGCATTTCTGAATCCTCCTAGGTGCCTGTCAGGTGCCTGTCAGGTCCCTGCTAGGTGCCTGTCACCTTCTTCACTGCCTTCTTTACCCTGTCATACTCATCAGCTATGGCTTCTGTCCAAGCACCAGAACAGGGGACTAAAACCTCCACTGCAGGCTGATTTTAGGTCTTGATTTATGTAATACCTAAATCTTACATAAATTTGCACAGCACTGCTAATGTAAATTTCAGTTTTTTCCCTCTAGGACAAACACCAAAATATGAAATGTTTTGGAGAGAAGAGAGATTGGCCTGTGATTTCTACCCTTTCCCTAAGGTCTGTGGAAATAAACCTTTACAGACTTAAAGTTATACAGAAAATAAATACCAAAAAGAAAAAAAAAGTGAAGGTGCCACGGTCCCAGCTTCAGAGATTCTGAATTAATTGCCCTGAGTCTGGTCCTGGCATCAGGATTTTTAAAAGCCCCCAGGTGATCTACTATGCTGCTTAGATTGACACTTGCCACCAGAAAATGATAAGGAAAATACGAGAGACATATTTTATGTGAGAAAATATGAGAGACATACTTTGGATAGCTGTCAATTTCCAAATAATCCTGTTTTTATTTCATACAAACAAAAAGCATGTTAGAAAACAAATGTATTGTTTTCTAGGAAAAATAAACATTTCTATTTATTAATTCCAGGAATTAGAAAACTAAGGGAAGAAAATGTATCTCTCTCATTCAATTAGGGCCTTTAAAAAAAAATTCTCAGGATGGTGCATTCATTTACCAATTTACCAATGATTGACCAAAGCCCCACTGTGTGCCACTCACTTCTGGATGCTGAGGATAGAACAGCTGACAAGCATCCCTCTAATGTGGAGTCAGGCTCCTTCACATCCTCCTTTCAACTATGCCTGATGAGCTGATTTTCAGCCAAGAATCCTACAAAGCCACTTTACCAAGAATCACCCCACCTTTAATAGCCAATTAAGCTCCTCTTCCTCCACCCCAGATACCTAGTCAAGTGCTTCTTGGTAATTTTTCATCAACTCCCTCACCCTGCCTGTTGGTATAAATCCCCATTTGTCCCTGTTGTACTCAGAGTACAGTTCAATCTCTTTCTCCTATGGCAGTAGTCTTGAATAAAGTCTTCCTTGCCATTTTCAACAAGTGTCAGATTAACTTTTCTTTAATACAATGAACAAAATAAATAATGTCCATCTCCTCAAAGACATTACATTCCAGTGGAGTACAGGAAGACAGAGATTAAACAAAAGCAAAAAGATAAAGTAGTGGGAGAGGATTGTTAATACACAGTTCTAAGGACTGGCCTCTTTGATAAATTATCTGAGCAAAGGACTGAAGGAAGTGAGGCACAGGAGTATTTGTGGGAGAAGTCTGTTTTAGTCAGATAAAACAACAAATGCAAAGCTCCCACCTGGAATGTGTTTGGTTTATTTGAGAATCAGCAAAAAAGTCCATGTGGTTAAGACCCTAATAACAGGAAAAGGCCAGATCATGTTGGTCCATTTAGTCCACTGAATGGATTGGTTCTTATTTTGAATTAGATGAGAAGTCATCAGAATGTGGAGAAATTGGAACCCTTATTCATTGTTAGTGGGATAGCAAAATAGTGCAGCTACTTTGGAAAACCATTTGACAATTCCTCAAAATGTTAACCATAGAGTTACCACAACACACAGTGATTCCAGTCCTAGATATGTACCAAAGAGAAATGAAATATACAGCCACACAAAAACTTGTACATAAAAACTTGTTCATATCAGCATTATTCATAAGAGCAAAAACACTGATACAACACAAATGTCCATAACTAGCAAATGAATAAACAAAGTGTGACATAACCAAACAATGGAATAACATTTGTCAACAAAAGGAATGAAATACTGATACATGCCACAACATGGATGAACTTGGAAAACATGTTAAGTGAAAGAAGACAGTCACAAAATGTCACACATTGTATGACATGTCTTTATATAAAGTATCCAGAAAATGCAATCCATAGACACAGTAAATATATGAATGGGTGCCAGTGGCCAGAGGGAGAGAAGGAGTGGTGGTGGTGGGAGAAATGGGAGAGTGACTGCTGATGTACCTGTAGTTTCTTTTAGAGGTGATGAAATGTTCCCAAATTGAATAGTGGTTGTATTCATTTCCTAGGGCTACAACAAACTACAAACTACAACAAACTTCAACAACAGAAATTACTTTTCTTACAGTTCTGGAGGTAAGAAGTCCACAATCAATGTGTCAGAAGGGCTGGTCCCTTCTGAGACTCTGGGTAGAATTCCTCCTTGAATCTTCTCAGCTCCTTGTGTTCACCAGCATCCTTAGCATTCCTAGCTTGCAGCTGTATCACTCCAGTCTCTGCCGGTCCTCACATGGCATTTTTCTGTGCATCTCAGTCTTCGTATGACATTTCCTCTTATTAGAAGAACACCAGTTATATTGGAGTAGAGCCCACTGTAATGATCTTGTATTAGCTTGATTACATCTGCAAAGACCCTATTTCCAAATAAGGTCACATTCTGGGTACTGGGGGCTAGGACTTCTAAATATACATTTATTGCGGAGAGGGATGCAATTCAACCCCTAACACTTAGTGTTATATATGATTTGCTCTTTGTTTCCCCTTAATACTCTGTAATTTATTTTTATAAAATTCAAATAGTGTAAGTGATAAGATGTAAGTTTATCTCAGATGACTGGATAATCATCCTAGCACCATTCATTGAAAAGTCCATTCTTCACTCCAATAAAATGCCATCTTTATCCTCTGCCACACTACACTGTCTTCTCAAGTCAAAAGAGATTATTATCATTAAAAACCACTCTCTGACCTCCTGAAGAGACACAGTTGATGCTGACCGAGCACTCCGTCTCCCTTCCACTGTTCTTACATCACCTGCAAGATCCCTTCCTAGCCTCTAGGGGGAAGGGCTTGAGAGAGAAGGTAATGGGAGAGGAGAACACACTGGTGAAGTCAATCAATCAGTGGCCTCAAGTCTGAAACGAGAGGCCATGTGACCCAAAACATGGTGGATAAACCCATTAGGAATCCAGGAGACCTGACTCTAAGCTGGGTCTGTGAATGTGGTTATGACGTTAATGATTACTCTTACTAGTATTTTACCAGGTTCCAAAGGGATCACCCAACTTTTTCCAGCAAGGGCACCTGAGGACCAGTCTTTCCTTACTTTGGGGGCCAGATCCAAAGCCTGCACTTATTTATATACAGCTAACATTTGCTAGGTCCAGAGGACATGCAGAGCCCTTTACATACATCACTGCACTGAGCCTTCACCACCAAAGAAGGTACAATAATCATTCTCATTTTGCAGATGAGGAAGTTGGCTCAGGGAACGTATCTTGTCTTTGGTCCCTCACCTAGTAAATAGCAGAGCTGGGTACCAACAGTCATCGTTATATCCCAAAGCAAAACTGCCCCCATTGGCTTTCCATCATTCCTCAACTGTCTGAACTCCTTGCCTAACCCATGGGGCCCTCCAGCCTTTCCTGCCTGCTTTGCCATCCTCACCTCTCCCTATACCCACCCTGCTCACGTGGCACCCCACCTAGGGAGCTGGACCCATCTGGGAGCTGCCCTGGGCTCTTCCTTCTGCTTGCCTAACTCGGGCCCCCACTCTTGTTCTGACCAACTCCTCTCCATCCTTCCTATCTGAACTAAAATATCAATTTCACTTCTGTGGCTTAAGACTAAGAGACACCCTCTCTTAGTACACTCCACTGTAGGTGCTCCTGTGTGGGGCCTGGACAGCGTATCAGTTGCCAGCAGACAGATGTAGGCAGAGCCTGCAGGAGTTACACCAATCATTTGAAAAGAACACTATTTTCTCATAATAGAGATTAAGGACTCAAAATGGGGAGTTCACTGTGTCAGTCACTACCAGCTAAAACTTACAGAGACAGGCTCTGTGCTAAATGCTTAAATTCCTTACTTCTTTAGCCACTTGGCAATGTGAAGGGGATGGTGTTATCTGTCCCCATTTTTCAGATGAACTCAAGGCCAAGTGGAGATGTGGTGCTCCAGTCAGTGGGCGGCACCAAGGCTGGCAACAGGCTGGGCCAGGATGAAATTTGGACCTTTCCCAGAAGGTAGCGGGAAGCTTTGGAAAGTTTCACACAGGATGAGATAGGAGCAGACCTTTTTCTCAAAAGATCACCCTGGGGGGCCTTGGGTAGTGAGAACTTTAAGGGAAGGGACTCACAGCCAGAAAGGTAAGGAGCATATTGTGAACACATCCAGTAACCCAGTGAATGCCCTTCCACAGCTTCATCCTAAGGAGGTAATTAGCCAAGTGTCCAAAGGTGCATGTATGGGAACACTGATTGACAAGGACTACAGGTGTGCACCATCATGCCCAGATAATTTTTTTATTTTTTGAGACAGAGTCTCACCCCATCACTCAGGCTGGAGTGCAGTGACCAAGCCAAGGATTCACCATCAGACTGTACCTGTAATACCTGTACAAACTGGATAAATTCCTCTCTTCCTGAGGTCTCAAAATATCTTGAGGTTCTGTGCCTGTCAGAAACTGATATTCTTTTCTTACCACAAGGTCAGGAAGCTTGTAAGGGAACTGTGTAGACAAGGCACCAGGCCAGTCATACCCCAAGTCTACTGGCTTTATAAGGCAACTTCAGTTCTTCAAAGCAGTCTGGTCACATCAGAAAATATGTCATTCCAGTCAAAATGGTGGTTTTAAAAAAAAGTGTCTACAATTGTGTACTGTTAAAAAGAAAAATAGATTCTTACTGAGCTTATGCAAATAACTATATTGCCATAATGTAAGAATACACACAAATAGTTTCTGAATTCTGGAGAGATCAGGTAAAGAGAAAGGTAAATGTCTCAACTTGCTCACAGCTATATATTTTAGGCTGGGCGTGGTGGCTCATTCCTATAATCCCAGCAGTTTGGGAGGCCAA